AGACGAGCTCTTCTTTTCACAGCTAGTACTCACAGCTAGTACTCACCGGTGCACGAAGACGAGCGCCTCCAGGCATTGCTTGGCGATGCGGCGAAGGCGCGGCAGCTGGAAGTACCGCTCGCCGCCAGAGTCTCGGTTGAAGCGCGAGAACTCGTACCTGCGAAGGCGGGGGGGGGAGAGGCGGGAGTGCGGAGTCGCGGCCGGATCGAACGCACAAGTTGTCCCAAACATCTCGGCCGATCTCCGGCCGCATCTCGGCTGCATCTCGGCCGCGTCTCGCACAAGTTGTCGCGCAGCAGCTCGCAGACGAGGAAGAGATGCTCGCGGTGGTAAAAGTAGTCGTACATGCGCAGCACGTGGTGCTCGTCGCGCGGGTCGTGCCTCAAGGGGGGGGAAGGGGAGGCAGGCGGCCCGAGGTGAGGCATCCCCTCCACATGTGAGCCGAGGGCCGTCCCGTGGGCGAGGCGACAGCCAAATCTCCGGCGAGGCGACAGCCAAATCTCGAGGTCTCGAGGGGCGGAGAAAGGGACGAGTCGCGGCCAGCCGAGCCCGGCGACCCTCGGGCGGCAGGTCGCTCGCTCACTTGCGCAGGTATCGCAGGAGCTTGATCTCGTCGAGCGACTGGTCGAAGAAGTCCTTGTTGTTCTTGATGATCTTGATGCAAACCTGCGCGCGGCGCGAGATGGGGAGACATGGGACGAGGCGCTCTCCGCCGCAAGCTCGAGGGCCGTGGAGGGGCCGACCCCCTCCCTCCCCCTCCCTCCCCCTCCCTCCCCCTCCCTCCCCCTCCCTCCCCCTCCCTCCCCCTCCCTCCACCTCCCTCCCCCTCCCTCCCCCTCTCCTCCACCTCTCGGCGATCTCTCGGCTCCCGTCTCCGAGGATCTGCGGGGAGGGACCATCTCGGGCCTATCTCGGGCCTATCTCGGGCCTATCTCGGGCCTATCTCGGGCCATCTCGGCAGGCGGACCATCTCGCCCGTGTGCAGGTCGAGGCACTGCACCGCCTTGGAGAAGGCGGCCGAGCCGAGGTACTCCTTGACCTGCCGGGGAGATCAGCCGAGGTCAGCCGAGATCAGCCGAGATCAGCCGGGGGCGAGCCAGCTCGCCGACCTGGTAGCGCGACGCGATCAGCGAGTGCAGCCGGATCGGGAAGTCCTTATTCTCCTGCGCACAGCGAGGGCACTGTGAGGAGGCGCTCTTCACGGCAGCCGCCTCGGCAAGCCCTTCCCTTCTCCTCGAAGCCGGTCCGCGCGCGCTCGTGCACCACCCGCAGCTCCAGCGTCTCGAACCTCGCCTGGCCGAGGCCATGTCTCGGCTCAGCCTCGGGGCTCAGCCTCGGCCGGAGAACGGCGCAGATCCCGATGAGATCTCGGCTGGATCTCGGCTGGATCTCGGCTGGATCTCGGCTGGATCTCGGACTCGCCTCGGCGGCGCGCATCCGCTCCATCGGGTCGACCTCCGGGTCGGACTCCTCGACCACCTGGAGGGGAACAGGGGCACAGAGGCCGTGACCTCGACACCTCGGGGCCCTCACGCCGCGCGACCATCCCCGGCCAACACCTCCTCCTCGCTCTCCTCGTCCTCCTCCTCCTCGCTCTCCTCCTCGTCGTCGTCCGGGGGAGGCCCAACCGGCGGACCCGTCTGCCGCCGCCTCCGTTCCCACCCGCGCGGCTCCTCCTCCTCGTCCTCCTCCTCCTCCTCCTCCTCCTCGTCCTCCTCAGCGCTGCCCCCTCCCAATGGGTACCCCGTCGCTCTCCTCTCCCGCCGCCCGCCCCTCCCCGCCGCCTCCGCCTCCTCCTCTCCCTCCTCCTCCTCCTCCTCCTCCTCCTCCTCCTCGTCGTCGTCGTCGCTCTCCGGCGGTGCAGGCGGCAAGCCCGTCAGGTTGCGCTTCATCTTTGGCGGCGTCGGCTGCTCCATCGCCTGCAGGACGGCGAGGCGAGGCGAGGAGGAGGAGTGAAGGAGAGGAGCGGAGAGAAGCGGAGAGGAGAAGAGAGGAGCGGAGCTGAGAGGAGAAGAGAGGGGCGGAGGAGAGGAGAGGAGAGGAGCGGAGCGGAGCGGAGCGGAGCGGAGAGGACTCCACGCCTCCTCCGTGAAAGCGACGCCGCTAGCCTCTCGCACGCTGCTGCGGCAGCTGCTCGCGTCGGAGTCGCGGCCGCTCGACGCGCGGAGCCTCACCACCCGCTCCAGCGACCGCGCGAGCGCCGCCTCCGTCGCCTCCGCCTCCTCCTTCTCGCCCCCCTTGACCGCCCACCCTACGCCCGCTGCGCCCGCCGCCGCAGCCTCCTCCGCCTCGCCCGCCGCGCCGCCCGCCGCGCCGCCGCCGGCGATGGCGGGCCGCGGCTGCAGCGCGCTGCCCCCTCCACCTCCCGCCTCCGAGGAACAGCTCTCGCCGCCGCTGGCCATGGCGGCGGCGGCGGCGGCGGCGGCGGCGGCGGTGGCGGCTGCAGCAGCCGGGCTGCCGGCAGGGGCGGTGGCAGCAGCGGTTGCGGCCGGGTTGGGGATAATCTCGAAGCCAGCGCGTGCTGCGGTGCGGGGTCTGTCGGCACCTGGCACGGACAGCGGCGCCCGTCTGTTCTCTCGCCCCCTCAGCTCTCTTGCACTCCCTTCTCTCTTCTCTGCTCCACCCCTCTGCCTCTAATTGCCGCTCCCGCCGCCCCTCTGCACCCCCTCCACCGCTCTCCCTCTCGCAGCGCTGCACCCCGCAGCGCGCGCCCTGCAGAGGAAGGAGCGGACCCTCCCTCTACCCCTCCCTCTCTGTCTCTGTCTCTGTCTCTGTCTCCCTCTCCCTCTCCCCTCACCCGAGCTGCAAGCGGAGCCCGCAGCGCTGTGCCCCGACGGCGAAGATACGGATCGAGGATTGGAGCAGCGCGAGGAGCGAGAGGAGCGGGAGGAGCGCGGAGAGCGCGCGCCCGCGGCGGCGAGCCGGTCCGTGCTCGGCGCTCCCGCGCTCGCCTCCTTCTCGTACCCCAAGTCCTCGTCGTCCTCCCACTCGTCAACATCCGGGTCATCGTCGGGGTCGTGGAAGCGCGGTGGAGTTCCGTCCGTGTCGGGCGGCGCGACGAGGGGGGCTGGCGCGTCGGGCGCGTCGCCCGCGCCGCCGCCGCTGCCGCGGCCGCTCACGTTGGCGTGTGCCACCAGCCGCTCGAGCCGCGAAGAGGCGTCGGCGGTCAAGCCTGAGGCGGCAACCTCGCTCCTCAAGGCGGCCTCAGCCTGGTGGAGGCCCTTGGTGGAGAGGAAGTCGAGGATCAGGTCCAACGTGCTTTGCGTCATTCTCTTCGCGGGAGCCCCGGGCAGCGAGCCGGCTCGGCGTGTGAGCCACAGAAAATTACGCTGCGGGACCTGGATGTGCGGTTACCGACTGCACTCCAAGTGCTCCAAGTTCAGCGGAGCTGGGAATAGGACCTCCGCAAGCGGCGTGGAAGGAGCGGTTGCGCATCCCTCCGGAGGCCCCTCTGCGCCGGGGAGGCGTTGTTGGAGGCTAGGACGCACGCAAGCGTCGGCTTGGCCTGCACAAGCTTTTCCGGCAAACAAAAAGGAAAACAGAGGGTCCCCAGCACTTTGCGTTTCCGGAAATTTCCAGGGAAAACAGAGGGTGTTTGGTGCTCCATTCTGGAAACTCGCGAGTTTCCCTGAGTCTGAGAGCTGGTCTGGGGCAAAATCTGACGCAAAATTGAGGAAATCGGCACGATACCCAGGCGGTCGCAGGGTATTTTCCAGTTATACCCGGGGTTTTCCAGGTATACCCGCAAAATACCCGGTATTTTGCCGATTTGGCTGATTTTGGGTCCAAACCAGCCTCAGACTCGGCTCAGAGCCCGGAAAATTTGATGGGTTCCCCGGAGTTTTCCCGGGAAAATAGAGAGGAAAAGAGAGGGTGCTGTCGAGAAAAAAGGAAAGGAAAAGAGACGGGGTGCGAGAGGAAAAGCTTGTTCAGCCTAAAAGCGTCCGTCGCCCTTTTCAAACTCGGGGCCCACTCCGCTACGCTCCGACCCGAATTTGGAGGGCCTAAAAGTTTAAGGTGTTGCTGCGCAAAAGGGGTCGGACACAGGGCGCAGCTCATGCTAAGAGCTAGAAGGGGAGCTAGAGAGAACGACTACCCTGTCCCATTATTGCGTACACCAACACCACAAAAGCTCTCTCTCTCCTGTCCTCACTCAGGGGGGTCACAACTACCGAGTCCCTCGACTAGCTGCCACGTTGCCGACCGAGAGCGGATCTCCTCCTGCTCCGCAAGGAGGGTGGCCAAGGCTAAAGTCTTGCCGGAGCCGCCGGGCGCGTTGACGACATGGAGAAGGTCGCCCTTTTGCACTTGTACTTGTAGAGATGCTCGAGGGGGTGCTTTGTGGGGCGGTGCGCAGCCAGGCCAGCAGTGAGGGGAGGCGCACCCTCACTCTCCTCGGTTGCAGAGCTCGTCGGATGCTGCGGCACGACGGGAGGGTCGCGACAGCAGTCCTCGGGCGAGCCGACGCGCATGTCCAACCAGCGCTGGGACTCGTTGTGACGGCAGACGCCGGCTGCCTCTCCAACCGCTTCTGCAGCTTCCTTCTTTGCCCGGTGCATGGGCTCGATCCGATTCCGCAGCGTGTCGTCCCCAGCGGCGGTGCTGCGCGGGAGGCGGCCGCGGGCACGCTGGGCTCGATCAGCGGCTTTCCCTCAGTTGCTCCGAAAGCACGGATTTGGCGGACGTTCTGGGCTTCAATTTTACGGATGTCTTGGCACCAGCTGAAGGCTTGCCCCCGTCCATGGCTCAGATCACATGGTTTCTAAACTCGGTGTCGAACCACCAGCCCGACGCTCACTACAAGTGACTGCACGGTATTCGGATTTTGCTACTTGCTCGTGTGGGGGTATATTGCTGATTTGTCAATGGCACCGCGTCTGCGACGCGGGCGCCTTGCGGGCAGAGCCCTTAGCCACCCTTTATATCTTGCGCGGTCAAAAAATGTTTGTTGATCGGCTCGGTAAGGAATGACTCAAAGAGGTCGAGCCGCGCTAATGGGGTGTCTCCGAGCTTACTGGAGCTCTGATGGACGGCCCTGACTATGAATCCCTGACACACAGAGAGTCACTCCGACGGCACACAACACCCTATAACTGCGTCATGACCAGCCTGCCATGTGTCGCCGGTGCCGCATTCGTCGCAGTGCTTCTTTAGCAGGCGGTGGACTGTCGGCTGCGAGGACGGTCGCATTTGCGCGAGGCGAGGCGAGCATTCAGACGCGTTGCATGCGCCATGACTCGCGCCAGCGCGTGCGGGAGCTCCTGGCTGAGCGTTGAGTCCAGGCGAGTTGCGCTGGCCACGATCGCTACGCCGAGCCGAGCTGACGCGCCGAGGCGCCGGCCAGTCGCAGCCGTGAGGCATGCCACAGCAGCAGAGGCATCTGCCACCCATTGGGCGGGCAGACAGAAGGCCAGGGCAGCACTGGCAAGTGCAACGCGCCTCATGTCGGAGAGCGACCGTGCCTCCTTCGCCGGTTATGATGTAGAGTTTGTTGGTTATGATGTAGAGTTTGTTGCAGAGATTTCACGTTGTAGAGCGCCTCTACATCGCTCTACAGGCGACTCACATCGTCACGCGGCGGATGTAGAGCTCTACAGCTCTACAGAGCGCTCCAGAGCGCTCTACATCTCTACAGCTCTACAGCGCTCTACACTCTACATCCTCCACACCCTCCCTCAGGATCGGAGTCAGAAGAGTCATCCTGGCGCGAGGAGAGCTCGATAAACTCGAGGGGCCAAAATACGCCGCGAGGAGCGCGGAGTTGCGCCGAGAGGCGGGAGAAGCCGCGAGAGCAAAGGGATCGGCGGGCGGCGGCGGCGCCGCAGAACGAGGCAGGGGGGAGAGCGACGCGACAGAGGATAGAACAGGCAGGGAGGGGCGCTGTCCCTTGTCAGGAGCAGGAGAACTAGGAGAGCGCAACCAGTAGGAGGCCCGCGCCTGCCCCCGTGCCGCCGGGTGCAACTTTGTCCTATACGAGAGCTGGGACCCTGTCGTGTGTGGGTGAACCCTGCCCAGGCCCCAGCCGCAGCCCCCCTCCCCGTCTCGTCGCCGGTCGTCCGTCTCGCGATGCGCTCCCCCCACTCTCCCGTCCGCCTCGGCCCTCTGAGCTCTCTGTCCCTGGGATCTCGCTCCCAAGACCCAACTCCCATTCCTCGTTTGGGATTGGGTTGTCTGTGTTTTCTTTCTTTCTTTCTTTGGGCCACCGAATATAAAGAAACTCGTGCCCGCTAACTGTTAGCGGTGAGCACACCATTCACCCAGGCTGCCCGGGAGATGCACCCGCGCAGCTCTCGCAGCCTCTCCAGGCGCGCCGCCTCCGCCCCCGGCCCCGCCGCCTCCGCCGCCGCCCCGCCGCCCGGCAAGCCCAAGCGCTCCGTCAGCGCGCCGAAGGCCTCATTCTCCTTGGACGCGCCGCCCGCCCACGCATGCCGCACCCACCTCCCCACCGGCGAGTTGATCTGCCGAAAGTCGGCCTCGCCCACCTCATGCGCGTGCTCCTCGTAGGCGGCGGTGCCGGGCGCGCGCGCCACCGCCGCCAAGCATGCCTGCGACTAGAGGCGGCCGTGAGGAGACCGCATCTCGACTGCATCTCGGCTGCATCCCGGCTGCATCTCGGCTAAGGCCAGGCCTGCTCCCAGAGGCGGCCATGCAGGAAGAACTTGCGGCACGTGCCGTTGAAGGGACTCGCCCACCTGTTCACACGTGCAGGTGTGAAGAGACTCGAGAGGCCCGGCCAAGGCAGTGTGTGTGTGTGTGTGTGTGTGTGTGTGTGTGTGTGTGTGTGTGTGTGTGTGTGTGTGTGTGTGTGTGTGTGTGTGTGTGTGTGTGTGTGTGTGTGTGTGTGTGTGTGTGTGTGTGTGTGTGTGTGTGTGTGTGTCTGTCACACCAGGCGCGTAGCAGCGGCGCCAGGCCCGGGTGGTTGAGGTTCGCGAACATGACTCCCGTGTTGAGCTGCGTCTGAGGGCATGCAGGACGGTGGGTGAGGGACAGCCGGTAAGAGGGGAGGGAGGGAGGGAGGGAGGGAGGGAGGAAGGGAGCGAGCGAGCGAGCGAGGAAGAGAGGAACGTTGGAAGCAAGAGTCGCTCGGCCGTGTGTCTCAGCCGTGTGACTCGGAGACGGTCTCGCCGATTTGGCCGGGCGTCTGGGCGCGCCTGTGCGTGCGCCGGCACGTGGATCACGCCCGGGATTGAGTACGGCCGGGCGCAGACGAGGGCGAGGCTCTCCATGCGCGCCTGACAGAGAAGGTAAATCGTAAAAAAGACAAGTCTGCAGCGGGCGCGAGGCTCTGCAGGCGCGCCGCAAAGGCGGCGCCCGAGGCGAGGGTCTGCGGGTCGGGCTGCTGCGCCGTCAGCTGGAGCGGCATCAGCCGGCGCAGCAGGTCGGTACCTGCCGGCGCGCGGACGAACGCGTCCGCGTCGAGCAGCAGCGCCCACGCGCAGCCGTCGCGGCGCTGCTGCTGCGCTGCGCTGGCACCTCCGCCTCTGCTCCTGCTGCGGTGCTGCTCCTCTATGAACTGGAGCACGCGCACCTTCCACCTGCCGCCGACAGAGCCAGAGCGGCGGGTCAGGGGACCAGCTCAGGAGCAGCGGAGCAGGGCATCGGGGATCGGCGCAGTGCACCAGGCGTAGTGCCTCGAGGAGAGCACAGGGCCGAACGGCGGAGTGAAGAGGCGGAGGCGCATGCGGGTCGCGTTGCTGTTGGCGGTGCGGACGTAGCGGAGGTTGGCCAGGGCGCTCTTCACGAAGTAGGGCCAGGACTGCGGCGGCTCGCGAGCCAGCCGGTGCAGGTCCAGTGTCCGCCAACCCTGGTGCATTGACACGACAGTGAGAGTGCAGCGGTCTGGCCCGCCGGCCGACCACGAGCGGCCCTCCCATGGGTAGGAGCCCCACGGCACGGCGCGCTTCGCTGGGCGTGGCCCCACGTCGAGCGAGCGAGCCGCGTCGCGTTGCGTGGAGCCGCTCACCCCACGTCGGAACATTGAGGATGACACCGGCGCTTCCAAAACACTGTCTGCTATAGCCGCAGCCACTCCCAGCTGCTCGGTGTGAACAGAGTTCGTACACCGAGCAGCAGGGAGCTCCGCAACTCGAGATCCCTCGAGAGTTCACGCGGAGTCGGCTGGGGCTATACCAGACAGTCCAAAACAGGAATCACAAATCGAGAGTCCAAAAAAAGAATAAAAAAAGCGACTGCAAAAATCGGTGGCCAGAGTCCGAGCTTTGAACGTGTGGGCGGCAGCTGTCTGTTTACAGGCGCTGGCCGCCCGCGCGCGCGCCGGACCGGCTCCGGCACGTCCGGCGCTGGGCGGCGCGCGTCCACACTGCGCGTCGCGCAAAAGGCGAGCGCTCGCCGCCGCTACGGCGGCGGCGGCGGCCGACGGCCGACGGCCGACGGCCGACGGCCGACGGCCGACGGCAGACGGCCGACGGCATACGGCCTAGGGCTCGGCTGGGCGCGCACGCGCACGCGCGCGCGTCGCGCGCCACGCGTCGCTCCGCGAGGGCGCGCGCCAACCGCGATTCGAACCGGGGCCAAAAGGCGCCTGGAGCGACCGCGGTCCGGTCGCGCCACCGCGGCTGCGGGGCTGATAGAGCAGGCCGGCTGCGGCTCCTGATGTACCTCCGCTTTTGGGTGGCGGTCGCGCGCTGCCGACGGCGCTCGCCGGCGCTACGGCGCTCGCGGCGCGCTCGTGGCGTTCAGGGCGGCTCGCACACGCACGGATCAGCGTGTCGACCACCCGCTCGTGGCCTTTGTAGGCGGCGTCCATCAGCGCAGTGCCGCCAGCCTTGTTTCGCTTATCGATCTCCGCGCCGTGCCGCAAAGCCAGCTCGACCAGCTTCTCGCGGCCCTTCGCGGCGGCGGCCATCAGCGCGGTGCCGCCGAGATTGCACTGCAGGTTGATCTCCGCGCCGTGCCGGATCAGCATGTCGACAACCCGCAAGTCGCCTCCGTGGGCGGCGGCCGTCAGCGCAGTGCCGCCATTGCTGTCCTTCTGGTCGATCTCCGCGCCGTGCCGCAAAGCCAGCTCAACCATCTTCTCGCGGCCGTTCGCGGCGGCGAGGCTCAGCGCAGTGCCACCGTTGCTGTTCTGCAACGAGACATCTGCACCGCGCCGCAGAAGCGCCTCGGCCAGCTCCGCGTGGCCGTAGCCCATTGCAAGCACCAGCAGCGTCATGCCGCTCGCACGAGAGCCGTCCGAATAGACGTACTCGAACGTCTCGTCGACCCGCCCGCCGCCGTCGAGCCACGCCAGCACCGCCTCCTCGCCTCGCTCAGCCGCAAGCACAACCTCCTCTGGCACCGCCTCGCTGCCCGGCGCGGTCTCTGCGCCGCCCTCGCCGATCGAAGCAGAGGCCGCGGCACTGGCGCCCGCCGCCGCCTCGCCTGCGGGTGCGCCGCCCGCCCCTGCACCGTCCGCCTCGGCCTCCGCCGCCTCGCGCCGGCCCGCCGCCACCTCCCCGAGATACGTCCTGAAGGCCTCGTAGCACTCGGTGTGGCCCTTCTCCTTGGCAATCTGCAGCGCTGTCTCACCGACCACGTTGCGCAGCTTCAAGTCTGCGCCCGCCCGCAGCAAGCGAAGCACGACGGCGGGATAGTTGCCGAGGGCGGCGAGCATCAGCGCGGTGCTGCCGTTGTTGGCCTGCAGGTTGATCTCCGCCCCGTGCTGAATCAGCACCTCGCCCAAGCGCTTCTGGCCGTTGGCGGCGGCGGCCATCAGCGCCGTACAGCCTTCGCGGTCCTGCAGGTTGATCCCTGCGCCGTGCCACAGCAGCATCTCGGCCACCCGCTCGTCGCCGTTGGCGGCGGCGACCATCAGCGCCGTATAGCCTTCGCCGTCTCGCGCGTCCGCCTCCGCGCCGCGCTTCAGCAGCACTTCAACGAGCTGCTTGTGACCGTGTTCGGCGGCGATCAGTAGGAGCGTACAGCCACTCACGCCGCGACGCACGCACGTCGCGTCAACCCGCCCATCCCCGGTGAGCCACGTCTGCACCACGCCGACCTTGCCGCTCCCCGCCGCCGCCTCGATCCGTTTCGGCAGCGAGAGCGGCGCGGCAGTAACCGCCGTTGAAGCGTGCCCGCGCCGCGAGGCGGCCGAGCCGGCCTTCGTCCGGCCGGGCATGCAAACGGGCGGGGTTGCGGCTGAGGGCCTCCTCTCTCTTCTCGGCTCCTGCCTCCCTCGCGCGGCTGGGCTTCGAAATAACGTGGGGGCCCTCAGCGGAGCTGGGAATAGGACCGCCGCGAGCGGCGTGGCGTGGAGCGGTTGTGCATCCCTCCGGGGGCCCCTCTGCGCCGGGGAGGCGATGTTGGAGCTAGGACGCAAGCGTCCGTCGCCTTTTTCAAACTCGGGGCCCACTCCGCTACGCTCCGACCCGAATTTGGAGGGCCTAAAAGTTTAAGGTATTGCTGCGCAAAAGGGGAAGACACTCCACGCACAAAGTACATGCATACTTCCTCTTAGGCGGACCCTCCCGATGCCAGGACGCATCTAGTGCTAGTGTCGCTCTAGGAAATGCGGCGGCGAATGGCAAAGCGCATACTCGAGTAAAGAAAGTCGGTCGCGGAGAGCGTCGCGCAGCAGTTGAGCATGCTCGTGCGTTGTTTAGGACGCCACGCCAATTATCTGCGCGCCCATCTGTTGCCTGGCATCCCCTGCGAATTCGTCGCTCGTGATCAGCTCCGCTGCCGCTCGTAGCAACCAGTGCCGTGTCGAGATGAAGCTCCGCGACGACGCCCGTGGACTGCACGCGCAGGGAGAGGCGCACGAGCTCCCGCACGGCAAGCGACTTCTCGGCATGCGCCGCCTGACGCCTGTCGGCATCCCATTCTTGCAAGCAAGCCACATTTCTACCGACGACCGCGTATTTGGTCGCGGAGAGGACGTTTTGGTACGTTTTGGCACCAGCTGAAGGCTTGCACGGACAAGAGCCCGTTGCCAACCGCACTTTTGCCAGAGCCTCGCGAATCAATTGGCCTCCGCTCGGGTGTGAACATATTCGCTGCGGTCAAAAATTCTCGGCGTCTCGTTTTTCTCTTTTCCGCGCAGCCGAACTTACGATGCAAAGCTCGGCTGCTGCCACCGCGCCATATAGACGCGCCCGGCCACTGGGCGGCCGCCTGGGCGCGCGCCCGTCGCGGCCGTCGCGCCCGACGGCGCCCTCCGGCCCGTCTGCAACTGGTCCGTCGACGACGTCTGCGCCTTTCTCAGCACTGTGAGACTGGAGTCACATGCTCCTCGCTTCGCTGCGGAGCAGGTTGACGGCCTCCTCCTCGAGGAATGCGTCGCGGCGCGCGCTCTCGCTCGCCTCGGCATCGACGACTCGTTCGAGGTGGCCAAGCTGCGCGCCGGGCTGCGCCGCTGCACGCAGACTGCCCTCACCACCTCCTCAGCTCTCGCTGCTGCCACCCTGGGCGGCGAGGCGGCGTAGGGCGGGGCGGCCGCCGGTGCCGGCAGCGAGGAAATTGTCGCCGCAGCAGATGAGATCATTTCGAGGCAGAACCACGCGGTCTTGGAGTGGCTCAGCAACTCTGACGCATACATAGTCCCACTTCACACGGAACGCGATCCGTCTTGCTCTCAACGGTCGCTGTCGCGCTGAGGTGGTGGCTCTGACAGCGTAGCCCAACCGCCCTTGCTCGGCCGCAATCAATGTTCCTTGCGGGGGCCACGGCGACCGGCTTCGGCGCGGGGAGGCCAAAATGCGCGAGCAGTCGTTGCTGGAAGAGCGCTGGCGAGTCCCTCATCTGATCGAGGCTCATCACCAGGAACTGCTCGCGCGCGAATGGCCGTGCGAAAACGGTGTCGCCTAATCTCGACGCCTGCCACCGCTCCAGCTGAGGCCAGAACAGGCCGTCTGCAAGCTGAGTGCGAAATCGGCAAATCGTGTAGATACGCATGCTCCATATCTTATGCTCCACGTCGATGCTCCACGTACGAATCTTGGCCGGTAGTGCGCAGCGTTGCCAATCGGCCATCCCGCGGTGGCTGATTTACTCACACAGGGCGGTGTTGTTGCGGCTCGATATGCTTGGCTTGGCGAAGAATTGGTTAAAGGCCGAGATCTGGCGCGAGGGCGCGACACTGGCTCGCGTACGACGACGAACATCTCTTGACGCGTACAGATTCCGCGCTCGTGAGCATCGCGTGCAGGTTCGCCAGGGCATAGAACGAGAGGACGTTCCGGGGGGTGCCCTCGGCGAAGCAGCCAGACTCGCAGCTGTCCCCGGCGGAAGAAGCTGGTGTAGTGCCTCCGGTCGACGACAGCCGAATTTTGCTCCAGGAAGTGCGTCTCCTTGTTCATGAACGTACCGACTACCGAGGCTGCTGCCGCACACCCCGGCCTGACTAACCATTTGCCAGACGGAGGTCGTGCTGCACTTCTGTGCGCCCAGCACATACAGTAGAGGCAGCTCTCGGCCAAAGCAAATTAAGATCCGCCGCCGCCGCCGCGCAAGTGTGAACCGTGCAGATGCGGTTTCTTTGAAACCAGAGCGCCCGTTGGGCAACGCGGCGCTCGCACAAGCCTCCAGACAAGGGCGCCCCCCCCCCCGGCGTTACGGAGTCTGTTCATAATGGCAACCGTGGCGCTCCTCAACCAACTGCTCGTCGGCTATGACTCCCTAGTGCCTCCCACGTCGCCGCTGATCACTAATGCCTCCGCCTGCTCTGCGGCCGGTGCGCCCACCGTGGTCATGGCTGACTTCCAGGCGCTGCCCTCATCCGCTGCCACCCTTCCCTCCCCTCCCCAGCGCCACCCTTCACTCACTCGACGGCTGCATCTCACTCCACTGTTTGCGCCGCTTCCAGTTGCTCAGCATGCACTCGGTCAACGAGCGGGAGCGCTCCTACACCATTGACGGCTACTTGGTGCTGCAGTGGAGCGACCCGCGCCTTGAGTTTGGCAACCTGTCCTGCCGCGACGCCATCGCCCTCCCCTCCTATGCGAACACCGACACAAAGCTCTGGGAGCCGGGCGTCCAGTGTATGGAGACTCTCCACGAATCGGTCGGAGGCAGCAGCGGCGCGACCCACATCGCTGGCGAGTCGCTCGTCATCAGCCGCAATGGCACCGTCCTTTGGAGCCGACGCGCGCGCTACAAGCTGCTCTGCGACACCTTCAACTTTGGCCGGATGCCCTTCGACGAGCAGTTCTGCATAGCGACCCTCCGCTCCTTCCCGTACAACGAGGAGTTGGTCCAGCTCGAGTGGCCAGATTGTGCATCCAACCCCGTCGCCTGCGGTGGCTCGGGCCAGCTACAGCCGTACCACTCGGGCGAGTGGATCGTCACAATCGTCGATCAGAGAACAGTGACCGAAGCCGATGGCCACAGGGTGCATTGCTTCCCCATATTTATCTCATACGTGCACACTCGGCACGCCTCAGCTGCTGCGGCAGGTGGCACGCGTTTGCATCATGCTCGAGCGGCACTCCAACCTGCTGTCCCTCTCGATCACCATCGTCATCCTCCTCGTCATCGCCGCCTATTGTGGCTTCTTCATTCCCGTCTCCGCCGCCCCGGCGCGCGTGGCCATCGGCTTCCTCTCCTTCCTGATGGCGCTACGAAAGCTTGGTGTGCTTGCTCTCTCGGGCGTGAGCGCCGTCTATCATCTGGACAGTCGTGAACAGGTGTTGAACCAGCTCTTCTGGGCAATGGGCCAGGTGAAAACGAACCTGCCACCACCCAAGCCCCTGCCACACCCGCGTGCCAGAGAATGTCCTTCTTTAGAGCCTCACTGAGTTCTCGACGCTTTGCCGCCCCTCTTCTCGCCCGGTGCAGATGCCGCCGCTGCTCGATCCTTCCGAAAATTACCGCGTTTGGATGATCGACTTCCTGTGGGGTTCTATGTTCTTCAACTGGCTCACCCTCATCGAGTACGGTCTCGTGCATTTTGGCCTCGAGTGCGAACGGCGCCTCGCCGCGGGTGCGAACGCGCCGCCCGCCGGCGAGCACGATGCCGCGCTGGTAGCACAGGACAAGGTCGGATCGCGCTACCAGCATGTCAAACTGTTGTGGATGCGCTGCGCCACTCGCTTTGCCGACCTGGACAATGTCTGCCGATGGGTCTACCCGCCAGCTTACTTCATCTTTTGCTGCGTCATGTACGGCGTCGTGGATGTGTATGAAAGCGGTTCATGCAGGTGGTACACATGATGGGACACGTACCCGCGGCTGACCCCCCGGCCGCCGTTCGATGCCGTCAGAAGTCAATGGTGTTGTCTCTGTTGACTGTCGTGTGGTGATCAGCGATGGCTTATACAAGTGCATCACTCCTTTGCATCGGGGAGTTTTGCGCGTTTTGGCCTCTTTCACTTCGCGCCGCGTTCGGGCATCGGGGGGGCTTCGGGCTTGGATTGGCTTCGGCCGCGCGCGGGATTGTTTCCGATGTCGAGTTTTTACTCTATACGCCCCGCCCGCCCCTCAAATGACAAATCCTCCAAATCCTAGTGCCGTAGTCCAAATCCCCTCGGCCTCGCTCTCCCACACGGTGCCAGCCCCACCCCGCGCTCCCCCTAGACTTTCTTTCCTGGCCCGCTGCTCTCTGCCTCTCTCTCCTCACTCACGACTCCACCGCCGCCCCGTCCTGCACCTCCCGCCGCAGCGCCTCGACGCCGCCCTCAACGTCACCGTCGAACTCGCGCACGAGCGACCTGTTCACACCAGCGGCTGTGATGAGGCGCCGTTCACACCTCGCCCTCGAGCTCGCGCGCAGGAGGAGGCCAGAGCACGGTGGGGCAGCGGCCGGCGAGGCCCTGCAGCGAGAGGAGCTGATCAGTTCAGGATCCGAGAGAGTTGGACTCGCGCGCAAGAGACGCGGCGTCGCTGCTAACGAGCGAGCAACCGCGTGTCTACCGCAGGTATCGCTGGGCATTGCTGTGCCGCGCTGCAGCAGCGGCGTGGCGAGGGCAGCAGTGCCTGCAGTGAGAGGAGGTGCGAGGTGGTGCCGCCGCGCGACGAGGAGCCGCGCTTGGAGAGCGCCTGCAGGAAGGGGTCTCGGAAGGCTCGGGCAGGGCTCGGGGGAGGGGGGGAGGAGCCGCGAGAAGCGAATGGCGCCGCCACGACACCCCTCAGCTCTGCGCGGTCGAGCAGCTGCAGTGTCTCGCAGACTTGCCTGAGAGGGAGGAAGGCGAGTAGGACTACCGACGCGCGGTCGAGCAGCTGCAGCGTCTCGAAGGCGCGCCTCCGGACGGCCTTGAAGGTGCAGGCCAGCTGCGGGCACGCCTTTGGGGTCGGCCGCGGCAGCGGCTCCAGCTGGTAGCTTCGACCTGTCCAATTCATTGGTCCATTCTTCATTGACCCATTCTTATCACTCGTTGGCCTCGGCCACCACAGCAGCTGGCAGGCGGGGCCTTGGACGGCCGCGACGCGGAACTCAATCATCGCGTGCTCCGAGAGGAAATCGCCCGTCTTGCCTCCGCCGCGCGCCGCCGTCTGCATCGCCCCACTGCTCCCCGAGTAGATCTCTCCCGCATACTGCTCCGCCGATCGCGCCTTGACCTTGACCTTCCCGGCCGCCGCCGCCGCCCCGCCGCCGCCGCCGCCGCTGCCGCCGCCGCCGCCGCCGCCGCCGCCGCCGCGTGCCTTGGCCAGCGTGAGCGCCTAGGTGTGAAGAGACGCGTTTCAGGCTGTGAAGAGCCGCTGCCGCGTCTCTGCGACGAGAGGGAGAGGCGCCAGCGGGTCGGCGTTTGGGTTGAGAGGGGGCGCGGCGGAGCGCGGAGCGGCCGACGACGACGAGGCCTCGCCGCCCTCGCGCTTCCGCTTCTTCGCCTCCGCCATCCGGCGCGCAAAATCTGACCCGCTGCCACTGTTGCCGCCACCGCCGCTGCTGCCGCCGCCGCCGCCGCTGCCGCTGGCATCGCCCCCGCTGCCGCCTCCGTTGACGACGCCTCCGGACGAGGAGGAGGCGAGCAGCCGGTCGCGCGGCGCGGCTCCCTCGGCCAGCCTCTGTGGAGCTGCCTTTTTGCGGCCGCCGCTGCCGTGCGGGTTGTGCGCCTGGGTGGGCGCGGCGCGTGCCTTGCTCACGACGAGTCGCGCTCCCGCGCCTACGAAGGACGAGGCCGCCGCCGCCCGGTCTCCGGCGAGAGGCTGCGGAGGGAAGCCTGACCGGAGCTCCACTTGCGAGGCAGGTAGGCTGCAAGCGGCGGCGGCGGCGTCAATCAGGTCGCCGAAGCTCGCCCCGTCGGAAAGCTCGAGCGTCGTCACGCCCTCTGGGCCCTGGAGGCGGAGGTTCATAAGCACACACTAAACACACGGGCGTGCTGTCGCAACTCTGTCGCACAGTCGCACAGCGTGCAGCGTGCCGCTTCTGGCGTTTTGAAAATTCTTTTTGAGTTCTTTTTGAGCTTAGCCTTCGATGATGAAACAAACGCAATGCGGACATGGCATATCGCTCTCGGGCCCACAGACATCCCGCACACCCGCCCCGCCGCGCATTCTTTTTTGCAATTTATCCCCTTTGGACGCGTCCACCCTCCGTCCAACATTCGCGATCCCTCTTTTATTTACACACACACACACAAATCCTGTAAATACAGGGAGGATCCGTCTGGAAAAAGGAACATGCTGAAGCCGCCAGGCAAAGCTTGTGCTGTGAATAGCAGGCGTGGTCTCTACTCGCCAGGTAAATACTTGCCCCTAAAGGGCGAGTGCACATCTGCAGTGTATACAATCTAATCTGAGAGCGGGGCAGCGCAACATCGACTACCTGCGCCGCCACCCGCAAAAGTTGTCGGTCCGCTTGGGGCAGCAGCCGGTGGGCACCGTCGCGGGCGGGAAGCCGTCGTCGGCGGTGAGGCATAGTTTCCCTGGAAATTTCCGGAAACGCAAAGTGCTGAGGACCCTCTCGTTTCCTTTTTGGTTTCCGGAAACATGGATGGATACAGGCCAATCTGCCGCTTGCTTGTTCTTCACGTCGTTGACCCAAGTTGGCACGCTCAGGGGATTAGCTATAAAAGAGAACCCGGGGCTTCTCACACGGGAGTCTTTAGCTCTCGACGCTCCGCGCTTCTCTTTTCTTTTTGTCCCGTGCCTAGTGTCGAAATAAATAAAATAAATAAATAAAAAGGACATCCCAAGCTAGGGCAGGGTCGAGGACAGACACGTCCCCAGGTCCCCACCTTTGTTTGCAGGATTTTGCCCTAGTGTCGAAAAAGAAAGAAAGAAAGAAACCGACAAACCCAAACGAGGGATGGGGGAGCCCTGACAGACGACATTCTTCTTTGTCAGTCCCGTGCGATGCGCGGAAATTCTTCTTTTGCTGCTCGCCGGGCGCGATGCCAAGTCGCGGTCGCGATGCGCCCTGGAAGAGGAGGCAGCAGGCCTCCTCCTCCGCGCGCAGCTCGACGTCGTCATACGAGGATGCCTTCGACGACCCGGCCTTCTTCATGCACCACATCCTCATCTCGGTGGCCTTCTCTCCTCTCGACTACATCTTGCGGATGCGAGAGTGGGGCCTTTCCGACCATCAGATCGACAAGACGCCGCTGCTCATCTCGAGCTACCGCATCGCCTCGCTCCTCGCTGGCACATCCGAGGTGAGCGAGTGCAGCCTCGAAGAGCAGCGCTCTCACGCCGTCTCGTACTTCCTGCTCCTCACGCTGGCTCCGCCCCTCTTCAATGGAGGCAGGGCCGTCGTGCCGGGTACGGAGGGGCTCGACAAGGCGAGTGCTGCCCTCGCTGCCGCCCCTCTCCTCACCGCCGCCTTCCCCCCACCGCCGCTTTCGCCCCACCTACCCAGGCGGCACGCATGGAGCGGCTTGTGAAGGACCAACCCGCGCTGGCCGCGTACTTTGCTCGCGCGCGCTCGATCACCGGCCTGCACCTGCTGATACGAAGACGACTGCTCGAGCTCGACTCGCTCGGCGCGGAGCACTCGCGGGGCCACCGGCGAGAGCAGCGCCGCTCGCTCGCGCGCGGTGTCGGCGAGCTGCGCTTCGCCGCCCTCACCATCCTCGCGGTCCTGTACACGCTCGGCACGGTGCTGCCGATCGTCTTTGGCTCGGCGGCTGACGCCGGCCGCGCTCTCGGCCGGCGCTTCCACTCGAACGGGCCGTCTTCATGGATGGCGGGCGTGTAGCTGGGTCCGGCGCGGTCGCGCCATTGCACTGGAGTGGACCCTGCTGCATCAAATCTACTTGGTAATCAATGTGTGCGTAGTATACTCGAGTAAAAGACGGCCGTCACGGCTGTACAAAGCACATTGGCGCAGCGGCCCACAGCGCACACATTCAGTGCACACAATAATTCTTTTTCCTTCGCGGCAACGCGATGGCGGCAAGGCCTCTTTGCGCGCCCGCCCTCGTCACGCCGAAGACCAACCGGCGTCGGACCGCGGTGAGACCACGCCGCCCCCCGCGCCCGCCCGCGCCCGCAGCGTGAACACATACGCGCGTCCCTCATCGCACGGAAACATACGCGCCAGCCGCGCGGCAGCCTCACATGCAGCGCCGACCGCATGCTCGCGCCCTGGGCCGCCGACGACCCGGTCGGGCGGGCTGCGCGACCGCCGCACACCACCAGGCAGGCGCACAACCACCCGCAGCGCGCCGCAGCCCACCGCGCAGCCCTGCCAGCCAGGCCTGCGCCTCAAAGACTCACAAACAGGCGCACAGCAGAGTACAGCACACAGCACACGCCGGCGGCGCGCGCGCAGCACACGCAGACGCACGCGCGGATCCAACACGCACACGCGCACAGCACGCGCGCGCCGCACGCCAGCGCAGCGCCACACACAGAGCCATTCCCATCAGCAGCAGCAGGCCTGCCACAATCCACATCTCACACACGCGCGCGCACACTCCCCCTTACCGGCGCACGCATTGGGCGTCGCCGAGAGCTCCCAAAGCTGACTTGTGTGGCTGGTTGTGCTGCGTGCTTGGCAGCACAAGCAGCCACACAACATCCCGCTTCATCTCGCCTCCTAGTCTCGCCTCATCTCGCCTCATCTCGCCTCACCTCGCTTCATCTCGCCTCACCTCGCTTCATCTCGCCTCACCTCGCCTCATCTCGCCTCACCTCGCCTCACCTCGCCTCATCTCGCCTCACACCTCGCCTCACCTCGCCTCATCTCGCCTCATCTCGCCTCACCTCGCCTCATCTCGCCGAGGTACACCTCGCCTCATCTCGCCTCATCTCGCCTCACCTCGCCTCATCTCGCCTCATCTCGCCTCATCTCGCCTCATCTCGCCTCATCTCGCCACTCGCCTCATCTCGCCTCATCTCGCCTCACCTCGCCTCATCTCGCCTCATCTCGCCTCACCTCGCCTCATCTCGCCTCATCTCGCCTCATCGCCCCTCACCTCGCCTCACCTCGCCTCATCTCGCCTCATCTCGCCCCACATTTTTTTCTTTTCTAGACCACTCCGAGACCGACCCAAGACCGACCCGAGACCCGAGATCGACCCGAGATCGACCCGAGATCGACCCGAGATCGACTCGAGATCGACCCGAGATCGACCCGAGATCGACTCGAGATCGACCCGAGATCGACCCGAGATCGACCCGAGATCGGCACGAGCGATCAACCCAACAATGCCCCAAAGCCCCCTCTCTGGGGGACCCCCCCTCACCCCGAGTGTCCGTGTCCTTCGCGAGTCACCGATGGGGAGCGGGGGGGGGTGCGAGATGCACAGGGGAGGCTGGGGAGGGGGGGGTCCACTCTGAAGACTGCCGACCGCGGGGGGGTTTTGTCCCACAGGGTTTTACCCTCCGCGTGAGGATCGGCGCGGCGAGGGGGTAGGTTCGAATTCGCCGCGCAACATTTCACCCCCACAGGACCCCGCCCACCCCCCCTCATGGTCCCACCTAGTACCCCAATGAGCCTTCGCACCCCCTCCTTGCGCAGTGTCCCCCACTATGTGTCGCCGTTATCGGGGCATGCTATCCTGTGTAGTCAGGGCAAGTGGGGGCGAGGCGCAGTCCCGCTGGTCTGATACTGGTGTGGTTCTGTCCCTAGTCTCGGAGGGGGGCTTGAAGCTAAGAATATTTTATTTTTTCAGTGCACACAGCAGGAAGACTTCGGCTTCGCTACCTACTAGGGAGAAGGTAGGAATCGTCAATCGACCCTCTTCCAGTGCTCAATCAAGTGCTCACCTCAAGCTCAAGCGAGGGAGGGCGAGACGATCGAGGGGTCCCGTACCACGCGGAAAAAGAAAGAAAACATCAACACAAGGGAGGGATGGGAGGACGGCACGCCGCCACCACACAGGGATTTTAAGGAGAGGAGTGTGGTGCTAAAAAGAAAGAAAGAAAACAGACACGCCAGTGTGGTGCTAGTACCACGCGGAATCAAAGCAAAACATTTCGGCACCTCCTGGATCCCTCCGCCCTCGCATTTTTTGCCGCAGGGGGCGGCACATTGTATGCCGGGCCTCTCTCACATCGGCCGCCGCGTGGAGGTCAAGTTCTCCACCAACGGCAAGAAGAAGTTCTTTCCCGGCAAAGTCGCTTGCTTCGAGAACGGCGTGTGCAGCATCACGTTCAAAGACGGCGATGAAGCTGAAGATATGCTGGATGAGGCGAGCTGCTTTGAGCGGTGGCGCTGGATCGACCACGACTGGGTGGGCCAGCCTGTCCGGCGGTACGTCGACAGTGGCGAGGTAGTCGGCCACGCAACAGACTCGCCTGTCGATGGTCGCATTGTCGGCTGGCTCAGCGCAAATGACAATGACGGCAGAGCGTTGTGGCACGTCGAGCTTCGAGCCGACGGCGAGAGGCTGGAGGAAGACCTCGAGGAGAAGGAGGCAGCCGCGGCGATCGCAGCCGCGGCTCCGCCGGCACCAGCGCCGGCAACGCCGGCGAAGCGCAAGGCAGCAGCTGCGCCGAAGGCAGCGTCAAGCTCGGGCGCTGCTCGCCGCAAGCAGGCGGCGGCGCCGGCGCCGGCGCCGTCGGCGAAGCGCAAAGCGGCGGAGGCGCCGCAGGTGGCGTCCAAGAGCCGCAAGCAACCGGCAGCGTCACGGGCCGCTGGGAAGCAGCCGCTTTGCGAGGAGGCTGCCGTCCCGCCTCCACCTCTGCTGCCGCCAAAGGTGGACGGAGCTGGCCGAGCGATGCGGGCACGGAAGCAGGTCGACTATGCTGCGGAGGAGGCCAAGTACGACAACGAGAGCATGGGCGCGAGCAGCGAGGAGGAGGAGGGGGGCGGGAGGGCGGTGCGCACGCGGCGGCAGAAGCAGCCGGCCTCGGAGGACGAGGACGAGCTGTACGAGGAGAGCGAGGGTGAGGAGGAGGGCGAGGAGAGCGAGGGCGAGGAGGACGATGCCGATTCCGACGACTCGGACTACGACGGCGGTGGCGGCGGCGACGCAAGGCAGAGGCGCGGTGCGTCCAAGAGGGGCGGCAAGGGTGGAGGCAAGGGCGGAGGCAAGGGCGGCGAGGCCAAGGCGGCGGGCTCCAAGGCGGCGGGCTTGACCCAGGCGGAGCGGCACGCGAACCCTCGACGAGCTGAGAACGCGTCTCTTCACCCCTCTCCTCTGTGAGCAGGCGGAGCGGCAGGAGGAGCGCGAGGAGGTGAAGGTGCTCTGGGCCAACCCGCCGCCGCAGGCGCTCGAGCGCGCCGTGCGAGACGCCAGGCTGTCCACGCCCAGAGGTGCCGAGAGAAGCTGTTCTCACCACCGCAGGTGCTCAAGAAGGCCGAGGTGCCGGGCTACTCGGCCGAGCGCGAGAAGCGCGCTGCATGGCCACTTCTCACGTCCCTGAGCCACATTTCTTCACGCCTCCAGTGTGAACAGGCTCTCGCTGCGCGGGCACCTCATCAAGGGAGGCGTGCAGCCGTACCTCGACACGCCCTTCGACCTCGACGTGACGCTCGGTGTCAAGCAGCAGGCGCGGAAGCTGCTGCCGCTGCTGCGGCAGGCGCTGCAAAAGGCAAGCGCGAGCCGGGCTGCTCGGGGTTGCGTGTGACGCGTCTCCTAAAGTGTGTGTGCTGTGGGCAGGCGGGCGAGGCGGGTGGTCTCCCCCCGGTGCACTTGCAGACGGTCTGCTCCGGCACCGACGCGCCGGCGATCGCCCTGTCCATCGCCTCCAAGGCGCTCGCGGCCGAAGGCGTGCACTTGCAGGTGCGGCACGAAATGAGCTGCGAGAAGGAGCCGTTCAAGCAGGCGTACATCGCTCGCAATTTCCCGGGCGTGCCCGTCTTCAGCGACGTGGTTGAGCTGGCGGAGAGGGCGGCGGCGGGCAAGGGGCAGGCAGGCGCAGCCATGGCGACGACTAGCTTCGGCGGCGAGCGCGCGATTCCCGACGCGGCGCCGGGCGAGCTCAAGGTGCCCATCGCGACGAGCTGCAGACGTCCGTGAGGTGCACCTCTTCACGCCTCTGGCCGAGAGCAGGTCCTCATCGCGGGCACATCCTGCAAGGACTTCTCGGCGCGCAAGCGCGCGACGGGCGTCAAGCTCGACATCGAGGCCGAGATCTAGCCGAGATCTGGCTGAGATCAAGCCGAGATCAAGCCGACTAGTCGAGATACTCATTTAGAATTGAATCGTGGGGAGAGCATGGCGTCGATTCGTGCACAGGACGGCGGCACGTCCGGGGAGACCTTCCTGGCGACCGTCGACTACCTCTTTGCCGCCGAGCATGACCTGCTCCTCCTCGAGAATGTCATTACCGCGCCGTGGGCCAAGATGGCTGGCTACATCACGGGTCGCGCCCGGCTCGCGGACGTCTTCAGCAGCATCCAGTCGTCGGCCAAGTCGCAGGGCGCCAAGAAGGTGGACAGCACCAAGGCGGGGGTCATCGGGGAGACGCTGCTCGAGCTCGAGGACGGCGGCAGGCTCGTCGTGAGCCAGGTGCGCCCGTAGATCGGGCCATAGGCTATCACTCTGGCCAGCTCTCCGCCACCCCCCCGGCCACCTCTCCGCCACCCCTCCGGTCATCTCTTGCCCACATCTTGTGCGCAATCCCACCGTCAGGTGTTCCCACAGCATGGGCTCCGACTGGGCGCGGCACTTCGTGCGACCTTCACCAAGAAGGGCGGCGAGGTGTCCATCGATGCGGCGACCCTCGCGCCGCTCAAGCTTAAGCGCGGCGGCACCGTGGAGCTGGTCAAGCTCTGCGGCGCGCTCGGCCTCTCGCAAGACGACAAGAGCGCCACCCTGGTGTTCGAGATGCCGGTCCGGCTCACATAGCTTTGGCAGCGGAGCCGTCGGGGGCCCTATTCAGACCGACATCCGACCCTATAAGGTGCAATACCACGCCACCTTCATGGCGGTCGACACGAAGAAGTACGGCTTGCCCCAAACGCGATCCCGCAAGTACCTGCTCGCGTGGAAGGCAGGCACCTACGGCGGCCTCGACGAGGCGACGGTCGCCGCGAGCTGGAAGAAGCTCGTCCAGTCGCTGGAGACGACGCTCGACCACCCGGTGGAGGCCTTCCTGCTGCCCGACTCGTCCGACCGTATCCGCCGATTCCGCGACGTGCTCCGCTCGCCCATCGCGCAGAGGCTCGCGGCGGAGCAGCTGGCAGGCGGGGTGCGAGAGACGCGCCTCTTCACGGCGCCTTCTGTGGATAGGCTCGCTGCGGAGCAGTGGGGCGGCGACCTGTACACGACGAACAGGAACGCGAACACGCGCTACTTCCTCGGCTTCCGCAACTGCATCCACATGCTGCCCGAACGCGACCACACCAACAAATCGGTCAACGACGCGGCCGAGCTTGGCGCGAACATGGACATCAACGCTCGCCCGCTCACGCGGTGGGGGCCGCAGGCGCCGCCAAAGCTGCTCTCGCCCTACTGGATGCAGGACGTGTGCGGCTTCTGGTCGCAGCACTCGCTCGACCACGCCGAGATCAAGGCCATCAAGAACGCCGAGGCGGGGGTCGACTTGCTGCACCACAACGCGCTCGTCGACCTGTCGCAGAACCCGCATCTCTGCGACACCGTCAACAAGCCGGGCATCACCGGGTGCCTCACGCCGGGCGGCCAGATGTACCACTTCAAGCGAGGCCGAGAGATCTCCGGCTTTGAGAAGCTTCTCCTCTCCGGCATTCCGGCCGACCAGCTGCTCCTCGGAGGCGAGTCGGAGGTGCAGCTCTCAGACCTTGCGGGGAACGCCATGTCGCTCCCCGTGGTCTCCGCCTGCATACTTAGCGCCTTTTGCATCGCGCCACACGCCGCCGCCGCCGCCGCCACTGCCGCCAAAGATGAGGTCGGAGAGTCCTCTGCCGAAGAGGCAGAGGCGGCCCCCCCGCATCCGCCATCCGCTGCACCGGAGCCCGCGGCGGCACCAAGCGGCGCGGAGCACAAGCGCTTCAGCTTTGGGCCGTTCGTCGGTCTGGCGGGCCGTGCGCAGTGCTGCTCGGTGCTGTGCACGTGCGAGAGCTCCGGCGACGTGTCCCAGCACGGCATCTTGCGCTGCAGCTGCTGCCAGGCGACGTTGTGCGGCATGTGTGCGGCCCACGTGCAGCTCGAGAGCCACACCATGCTGCCGCTGCACCCGGAGGGTGGCCGCTTCGGTGCAGACGCGGCGGCCGGCGACGGTGACGGCGCCACGCCCGAGGAGTTCGAGGGCAGCCTGCGCCGCGCCATGCCGGATGCGCTGCAGCTCGAGGAGCCGCTCGCCGGCAGCGGCATCGGCACCGGGCCTTCACACCGACGCGTGGCGTAGCTGAGAACCGCCTCTCCTCACTCCTGCATCCGTGAGCAGGCACCGAGCTCTTCCGGCTGCTCCGCGTCGACCGCGATCGCGACGCGGTTCGCATCAAGTACGTGTCTCACGGCGGGGAGGGCGCCGCGCCCGTGGCGACGCTCTCGGTCGCCTTTGGCCGCATGGGCGCAGCGGGCGTCGGTATCACGGCCACGCTCTACGACCTCAGCGGCGGCAAGCGCGGCTTGCTGCCGCCGGCGGCGCGGCTGGTGCTGCGCGGCGGCGGTGGCGGCGGCACCAGCAACGCGGACGAGTGGGAGGTGTGCGAGGAGCGCGCCGCCACCCTCTCCTTCGAGCCGGAGCACGGCGACGTCTCGTCCTCGTATCGCTCTGAGATGGGCCTGCTCGACTTCAAGGAGGAGGTCGTTGCCAACAAGATCCACGTCGGTAGTAGCGACACGCAGGCGGCCTCGCTGGTCGGCGGCACATATGTCCGCCAGCGCTGCCGCGGCACCACGGTGTTTGGCGCCCTGTGGAAGCGCGAGGCAGCGGGCGGCTCCGAGGCGATGTGGCTCTTTGTCAACCCGGACGTGGACCGCACCGGCCCCGACCACCTTGTCTTTGGCACGACGCCGACGTACCGCGACGGCCGCGCCTTCCACGTGGCGGAGCTGCGGCTGCGGCCCAACCAGCCGGTGTTGGAGTGGCTGCACGCGCTCGGGCAGGTGTGACTTAAAGCATAACTGAAGTATCGGCTGTACCTCAGCTACACCTCGGCTACTCCTCGGGCAGGCGGCGCTCACAGATGGCAAGGTGGTCGATGCCCCGGCGACACTGCTCGAGTGGAGGCGCGCCCCGGCCGTCAAGCTGCTTGAGGAGAAAAGCGGGCTTGCGGTGGAGCAGAGGGCGGCGAGCGCGGGCCCTCCAACCTTTGTCGTGAGCGGGCTGTCGGGCGGCACGATGAGCAAGCTCCGCCAGCACGCGAGTGGAGGCCGCCTCGCTATCCTCGCCGCCGCCTCCAGCGCGGCCGAGCGTCGGCTGGCGGAGGCGCTCGCGGCGCCACTGCTGCGCTTCGGTTTCGCCCAGCTGAGCGGCGTCGCTGGCCTGGGCGAGGACGCCGCGCTGTGGGGCAAGTGCGAGGTGAGTGCGCCATGCCGCCCACCCGAGGTGTGGGACGGGCGGCGGCGCGTGTACGACACGGAGCAGTCGAACGCGTACGAGCGGGCCATGAACGCGCGCCCGCAGGCGTGGGAGGTGCGGCTGAGCGACGAGGGGCAGGCCACGAATTGCGTCGAGGTTGCGCCGCGCGTGGAGGTGGCGGCGCACCAGGCGGCGGAGAGGCTGCTGCGCGGCCGCAACTTGGACGCGGGTGCAACGGCGGCGCTGCAGGTGGACTGGCATGTCGGCACCCGCCTCGACGCTAGCTGCGCTCGCGACTTCCCGATCCGCAGCAGCAAGGGCGACCCGCTCGCGGCGCAGCCGCCTACGGCCTTTTGGGCGGAGGACCTCTCTCTCTACCCGCGCCAGCTGGCGGTGCTGCGCTGGCTGCAGGCCATCGAGGCGGGCGAGGTCGCCTTTGACGAGCGCGACTACGCCGACGCGCAGCTGCCGGCCGTGGGCTGGCATCTGGAGGCCAAGGCGGGCATCGAGGGGCCGCTGCGAGGGGGCGTGCTCGCCGACGCGCTCGGTGCGGGCAAGACCGTCACCGTCATCGCACTGGTCGCTGCAGACGCGGAGGCGGCGCGCCGCTTGCCCCTGAGCGACAGTCGGACGAGCCGCGCAACGCTCATCGTCGTCACGCCGCTGATCATCCGCCAGTGGGAGGCGGAGATCGCCCGATTCAGCGGCGGCAAGCTGCGCACGCTGCGCATCGAGAGCGCGGCGCACCTGCAACAGCTCACGAGCCGGCAGCTGCGCGAGGCAGACGTGGTGCTCATCGTGTCGGACCTGCTCGGCTGTGCGAGCAGCGGCAAGGCGTGCGCCTTCGAAAAGGCGGCGGTTGTCAAGGCACATGGTCGGATGTGGCGCGTCCCACTAACCATCTCTTCTGCTTGACCGTTCTACTCTACTTTAGGCGTCGGCGCTGCACACGCAGGAAGCACAGAAGGAGGCGCGGCGGGCGGAGGAGCGGCTCGAGGGGAAAAGCGTCGCGGAGAGGCAGGCCCTCGCAAAGGCGCTCGACTCGCGCAAGGACACGTACCTCGAGGTGTTAACCGAGGCGGCGGGCATCGACGCGCTGCCACCATTCCTGCATCGCCGCAACAAGAACCGCGAGGCGGGCGGGGGGGACGCGGAGACGATGATCTACGGTGTCTGGCTCTCGGCTGGCTCGCGCGACCCTTACGGCAAGGTCAAGGGGCGGCAGGAAGACCGCGAGGCGGCGGCCTACTTCTCGTACCGCTACCTCTCCGTCACGCTGCCCGCCCTGCGCGCCAAGACCTTCGCCGACAGCGACACTGGTGCCCCGAGATTGAACACCTCTGCTCTATCCCGGCTACTCTTGGCTCCATCTCGGCTACATCTCGGCTAGGTGTGCCGATCGAGTACTTCCGCTGGCGGCGTGTAATCATCGACGAGTGCCACGAGCCGCTCTGCATGGGCTCCGATGACGCCGACGAAAGCGCCATGTCCTCCAAGCGCTCATCGTGTGCCGTGCGCGAGCTTCTCGGCATCGCGCACCCGGACGTCGCGTCGCGCCCTCTCCTCGCGCAGCGCGGCGTCTTTGGCCTCACTGGCACGCCTCTCCTCTCCTCGCCCGCTCGCATCACCGAGCTCGCCTCCCTGTGCGCTGGGACCTACGTGACGGGCGCCTCGAACCACTGGCGCACCGTCGAGCGCGCGAGCGGCCGCGACCTCTTCCTCCGCTACCACGACGCGGTGCCCAGCCGCCTGTACAGCGCCGAGACGGTGCGCGCCGCGCAGGATTTCGTAAGGGCCGCCACCCGGCGCAACGTCGTCGAGGAGTCGGTCCCGTCCAGCACCGTCCTCGTGCCCGCGCGGCTGAAGCAAGACTCCGAGTACGCAGCCCTGTGCGCCACGTACCCCTCCGTGCCGCTCTGCCCCGACGCCGACGCCTGCGACGACGCAAAGTGGAACCGGCTGGCGCTCGCGGCGGCGACGGCGGCCGAGCGCGGGGCGGCGCTCAAGGCGTGCGTGCAGCGTATCCACGATGCGGAGCCTCTCGCCAAGGCGGACTCGTCGTTGCGCCGGCGGGCTGGGGGCAGCTCTCTTCACGCACACACCTGTGAGCAGGTGCTCGTCTTCGCGCCGACGGACGGCATCGAGGCGGCCGCGAGCGCCGTGGCGGGGCTCGGGCTGCCGACGGATGTCGCGAGGCCGGGCGAGGGGCAGGAGCGGGCCGCGGAGCTGGTGCTCGAGTTCGACGAGCCGCCCACCGAGCTCAGCGTCGCGCAGCGCAAGTGCCGCGTGCTGCTTCTCGCGTACGACGACGGCGCGGGCCTCAACCTGCAGCACGGCTGCCACCACGTCATCCTGTACGCGCCGCTGTCGAGCCCGCCCAAGGACGGCGAGAGGGTGATCGCGGCGGTCGGCAAGGAGCAGCAGTCCATCGGGCGCGTCCGCCGCGCCGGGCAGAGCAGCCACGTGACCATCCACCGCATCGTGCTCGAGGGCCCGGGCGGGGAAAGGACGCTGGACGGCCTGCTGCACGAGCGCAACATGGACGAGGCGCTCATCAAGAGCGCGACCAACACGGCCGAGTGAGTCGGAGGAGCGGCAAACGGTGAGCGGCGCGGAACACAAGTGCAACTCTCGTGATCATAGAGCCTAGTAACTAAAGCGGTCGCGGCCCGCTCCTCCTGCAGCTCGGCGACAAACTGCTTGTGGCGTGCGCGAGCCTGCCGCGCCTGGTCGGCCTTCCGCGACAGCTTCTTCTCAACTCCCTCGCTGGACACGCCCTGCAGGCTGCCCATGTCGGCGGCGACGCTTTTGCCGGAGCAGGATGGAGGAGGATGGCTACAGCAGAGGATCTAAAAGAAAAGGGCGAGGTATTGAGGGCGTGTCTGCGCCTCCCTCCCTTCACTTGGGTGCACCTTTTTCTTTCTTTCTGCGCCTCCTCCCCTCTCTCTATTTCTTGAGAGCGACGTGGACTGTAAGGTGGAAGCCACGTTGCGGAAATCCACTTCTACCGCGAGGTCGGGCGGTTGGTCTCCCCCGCCTTCAGCCCTGACCCGACGGGGACGCCATCACCCTCGCCCAGGGATCTACAACGCTGTCCTAAGGTCCGACAGGTTCGGCACCGGGCACCGCCTCGGTATACAAAATGCGCTGCGGGCGGACGCGGGCCGCACATTCTTTTTTCCCTGTCCTTCGGCAAAGGATTGCGGCGCTGTCGACTGGCTTGGGTGATCACTGCACGCCGTCGCGTCTTCAGAGCTCAATCCTGAACGATACTGGCGATTAGATTGACCCCGCCTTGCTGCTCAGCGACAGGATGGCCGCCTGCCTGTCCAACACGCTTGCGGACCTCAGTCACGAAAGACGAAAGGTCGCGGAGCAGGCAGACGCGCTGGAGCAGCAAGCAGATGAAATCGAGCACGAGTTGACACGAGTGCCTTTCTGGCCAAGCGACGACTGGCTCGGCGACGGAGGTGCGGGATACGACTGTCCGACCGAATACGAAATCCTGCCGTACGCTTTGCTCAGCGTGCAAGCACGGGTTCGTTTGACCTCGCGAGCTGCCTCTGCACGACTGGCGGCAAGCTCACCGACTTTGGTGCCACCGCAGGCTTGGGTGAAGATGCAGGACCACAGGTTCACCGTCTTCTACTCGCAAAGCATCTTCAAGTGGGCCGCCACGATAGGGATCACCCGACGGTGCGCCAATGATACACGCACATCCACGCACACACACGCACGTCAAGGACACGCGCTCTCCTTTGCAGGCTCCTCGAAGTCGCACAGGCCAGCCTCAGCGGCGTCGGATCGTCGACGGAGGAGGACCTGCTCGAAAAGGCAGTGGCGGCTGGCGACGACGTCCTCTACCCGTATCTCGGTGACGGCTGCCTCAAAATCGGCGATCGGATCCGGCTCGGTGAGGAAGAGGAGGTGAGCTCTCACACACGGACACACTTCTGCCATGTCACACCTCGATGTCACACCATCGCCTGACTCTCAGGAGCACACCATCGTCTCGCTGGGCAAGCCGACCCGGACAGAGCCGGGCAGGAAGGGGGGAGGGGCGGGCTTCAACCTCCTGAAGGCGTACAGCTCGATCACGCTGGCGAGGCCCCTCGGTCTCCCCCATCGCGCGGGGACGACCATTGTGCGCGTCGTCGAGGCGCGAAATCATCATTACTCTCTCCATCATTGTTGTTTACGAAGGTGGTATCATCACTTCGCATCATGAATGCTATTATGGGGAGTATGCCCGTCTGCGTCCTCTAGGCGCTCCCGCTGCGCGCCGTGTGGAGCGGCGGGGCGGGCGGCGGCGGCAGCGCCGCCTCGCAGGCGCAGTGCCAGGCGGAGGCGGAGGCGGAGGCGCGGGCTCGCCAGGTGTTCGCGCCGGAGCCGGTCTGGGTGCCAGGGCTGGGCGAGGCTCGCTGGTCTGTCGTGCCGTGGCTCGGCTGCCGCTGCTCGTGGCCGTGCACGCAGCTCTGCTGGCTGTCTGCGTGCGCGTGCGGCGCCCCGCACCAATCAAAGACGCCGCAACGTGGCGGAGAGCCTTCTCTCCGAGCCTCGCCCGAGTCTTGCCGCACAGGCGCCTCGCAGCACCTGGCGGCCCTCTTCACGCTCGTTACCCTCCTCTTCGAGCTGATCTTGCTCGACGCTCTCGCGAGCCAGACGCCTCTCACAAGCAGCGGCTAGCCGTGAAGCGCGTGTCTTCACGCGCCGTGGCGGTGTGAGCAGGTGAGCCAGATGTTCATCGCAAACTGCCCGAGCCGGATCATGGAGTGGGAGGACTCCTCCTCTCTAGATGCGGAGCACGCCCCCTTGTACTCTAGCGCATCCCGTGTCCGGGGCCCTGCTCGGACTCTCGCGGCCAGGGCATTGTGTTGAGCGCTAGCACACCCTTCTGTCACGCGATGCGCCGGATGCACCGCACAAGACAGAGCCGCATATGTTCACACTCCGACGCTCGTGGCGTCTTCACACCGCAGGACTACCTCGTCGCTCCGCTGCCGGTCGCGCAGCGCGTCGCCGCCGTCTGCGCGTGCGCTCTCTCCCCGCCCGGGCCGTGTTTGGGATGCCCTCGGAGACCCTTCTTGGAGGCTACCCGGACATCTCGCCCCTCAGGTACGTCCTCTTCCTAGACACTTCCAAGACACTTCAGAGACACTTCCTTCGCCCCTCGGGTACGTCCTCTTCCTAGACACTTCAGAGACACTTCCTTCGCCCCTCAGGTACGTCCTCTTCCCGCCGCTGGTCGTGGGGTTCCTGTTTCGCGCCGGCGTAGGGATGCTTAGCCTTAGGACCAACTTCGGGGATGGGGGGAACATTGAGGTCGAGACGAACGCGGACCAGTCGTACTATGCCATCATCTACAAGGCGCGCATCTTGCTGCGCTCTCTGGCGGCGCGGCGGGAGGGCAGCACGTACGGCTACTGCAGCACTCTCTTCTACGCCTCCCTGATCGAGATACACTCGGTCATCGTCCCCGCGTACCTCGTCTTCCTCGCGCCCGCCATTGTCATGTTCGGCTACGACAATGCGACCGCCAGCGCTGCACCACGCCGCCCAGCGCCCCACACTCAGCTGCTTGCTGGACGCCTCTCTTGCGCGTGTAGGCGCTGCACCACGTCGCCAAGTTCTTCATCATCATGCAAGTGATCGAGGCCTTCAACCAGAACGGACTCTACTTCCTCCTCTTCGCCCTCTGCCTCGATGCGGACTCCATCCCAGAGACGACGCGCTTCGTCGCCGGCAGGCGGGCGCCGAGATCCGCCGAGATCCGCCGAGATCCGCCGAGATCCGACCCGAGATCCGACCCGAGATGCGCCCCCGAGATCGGCCGAGATTGGCGAGACCCGCCGAGACCCGCTGCGGCTCCGCCGGGTGTAATCATCGAGCCGAGACCAGCCGAGGCGACGACGCGCTGCCGCTGGCGCAGGCGCGCGAAGACGGAGACGTACTCGGCAAAGTACATCTACACGTGGGTCCTGCTGCTCGGCATGTGGCTGCTCGTTGTGGCGCTCAAGATCTACTTCACGATGCTCTTCCTCTGGCTGATCCCCCTCCTCGTCCTCGTCTACGGCACCGCCCTCCACGCCTACCCGTACTTGTTCGCCGGCGTGGCCGCCTGTCCGCCGCACGCGGGGCCCGCCGTCGAGATGGCGGGCATCTGCACGCCCGCACCCGTAGATGCGGAACCGCACGCATCCGTCTGTGTTCCAACTGGCGCGAGAGGGACGACACGCCCCATCCGGCTGCACTGCACTGTCTTCACGCTGTGAGGCTGGGGTGTGTTCTCAGCCTCCTCGCCTTCCTGCTCGTCTTTTGCGGCTACCGCGCCTGCTGGCTATTCCCGTGCCTCTGCGCACCAGAGGCGTGTGCCTCGCCCCACACCGACACCACGACAGCCCCGTCCCCTCGCCTCGATGTCCGCTCTCCGAACTGGATGATGCCTCCCCTCCCGCACGCAGGTGCCCGGCTGGATCTTCTTCCCGCCAAACGAGCCGCCCGACAACCCCATCCGGGGCGACGTCGACCTCCAGGCCTTCCGCATCTTGCTCGACCACCTGGGCAAGCCCTGGCCGGAGGACTGCGTCTGGGAGCCGCCCGGCTGGACGCCCGTGCGCGGGCCGCGGCTACCGGAGGTCCTGTGCTCAAAGTGCCAGAGGTGATTCACAGACCTTGTTATTGAGAAGAAAATACCTCCTACCTAGATGTACGGCTTTGTGTGTCGCTTCCATTCACACATGCTCATGCAAGTCCGTGACCATGTGGGTAAAGCCGTAGGTCTACAGTGTATAAAGTGTATGTACCGTCGTGCTCTCTCTCTGACTCTACGGCGAAACTCGGCGGACCGGTCGAGGTGGAGGACGTCGTCGGGCAGAAGTTTAGGCCCTACCACGTACCAGCTAGAGCTACCTCGTCAACGAGACGAAGGCGGAGCAGATGAATGAGCACGTGACCGCGTACCGTTCGAGCCAATCGGTCTTTGCCATGCATCGCAAAGTGGTTGGGACGCTCTTTCCTGGCGGCCTCGGCAACGGCACCCCTAAGGATCGGGCATTTGAACAAGGCGGCGAATTTGATGAACACGGTCAACATCTCGATGTTTGAAGAGCTTGCAAAACCGGATGCGGACGGCCGTGTTGCGCTCTGCCAGTCTCCGCTAGCTGTCCGTGCCAACACGTGGCTTGTGGGTGTGATGCTGGATGCAAACAAGGGGAAATCATGGCAACGGGACCTCTCGGATGGCAAGGGTGACTGGGTGGTGCCCACGAACACGAACCTGGAGAAGCTACTCAGTGATAAGAGCCCGATTCTGGGTCACCAAATGGCAGTTCCTTCCCATGGTGGACAACGAACCAAAAGGCGATCGACTCCCGAGGCATGATCTGTCCACTGCCCCCCCCCCCCCCCTGATTAGCGTCCTCCTCTGCTCCTTAGCGTTCCTCTGCTCCTTAGCGTTCCTCTGTCCATTGAAATGCGTTGTGTTTTACCTTCCCGTCTTGTTTTTTGTGTCGCCCCCTCCCACTTCGGCTCAAAATAGGAAAGGAAGTCTGAGCTGTCCTAGGAGCTGTCGGTCAACCCCGCGGCGCATGGGCGCCGCGGAAGCTGCTCGACAGGCTGCGGGCATCGCTGCGGCAAAAGCGCCCGCCCTCTGCTTCGCTTTCGCCCGCGTTTTACGATAACTTTCGGGTTTTCATAGCCGCCGAACTTGAGCACTTGAGCACCGGATAGGGTCGATTCCGCATGGTACGGGACCCCTCCGAACTTTAGAGCTCGCTGTTTCTTAAGGTGTCTCGCAGCTCCGTATTCTCGTATCCTCGTGTTATCGTCGCGTAGTATGGTATTGCGTGGCGGTGCGTATTCTTTCTCGTATCACTAGCTCCGAGTAGAGGGCAGCGACCTGCAGTTAAGGGGAAACCTGGTACGCGGGGCTAACCCTCGGTGCTCGGAGAGTATTCTCGTATTACTAGCTCCGAGTAGAGGGGGCGCCCCGCAGCTAGGGGAAACCCGAAGCGCGGACAACCCTCGGAGACCCGTGTTATGGCCCTGCGACCGCGCACCCCCCAGGGCTAGGGCTCTCTAGCCCGTAACCCGATACCAATCGTCTGGCCAACTGAGTGCGCTTCTTAGCTCCCCGGTCCTGGGCGTGCGGTTGCCGACTGCACTTCAAGTGCTCCAAGTCTGATAACAAGGATAGTGGGGCATGTGTAGCGATTCATCGAGCGAAACGGACGAGATGGCGCCCATCGGCCGGACCAAAAAGAAAGAATGAAAAAGATAACCCCAGGGAGGGACCCGAGAGATTTTTAGAAGCCAACCAGAAATCTCTTTCGCCGGACGCTTTCCCATAGTGCATAGAAACGTTTTCCATCTTCCAATCCACTTCGCTCTCAAGACAGATAGAGACGCAAAGTCGCGCGCGGCAGCGTCGACCGCACGGCCTACTCGCCCAAGTACTCGCTCTCTTTATGTCCCACCATGCAGAGCGCATCTCTCTCTCTCTCTGTTGTGCGAGGCGTGAACCGCGCCATTCGCTCTCACCCTGGCAACCATGTCTGCATGCACGTCTCGCGCGCGCGTGAACAGGACCAGGCCCCAAATGACGTGTGATTGTTAGAAGTTGGTATTATTAAAAATCTCTCTCGAGTTGTTTGATAGAGATGGAAGAAAGAAAGAAAGAAAACAGACAACCCCAAACGAGGGATGGGGGAGGAGGACAGGGTCCACACCTGCACGAGCAGGATTTTGGAAGGACGATCAGGGGCACAGGTGGGGCTCTCCTGCTCCTGAGCTCCTGACAGATAGAGATGGGCAGGAGGCCGCCACACGCAAAGAAGTGGATTTCCGCAACATCCGTGTGGCTTCCACCTTACAATCCACTTCGCTCTCAAGACAGATAGAGAGGAGAGGAGGCGCAAAAAGAAATAAAAAGAAAGCACCCAACTCAAGGGAGGGAGGGTAGGTAGGTAGAAAGGTGAAGAACAGCCAGGCTCGGACTGGACACCAACGCGGTATGGGTGGACGCCGGACAGATGATGACGACACGCACGAGCGACACACAGACACAAACAGGCTCACAAGACACACAGCCAGCGGGCTGCCACACACCCTGAGTAGGCGTACACATAACTCAAGGCCACATCCTCCCTGTTGCCCCCCCCAGCACTCCAAGGTGCCAAGAGAACAAACAAGGGCACAACAAACAACAGACAACAGGAAGTGATATGCGAGGCTAGAGCAAAGAAAGAAAGAAAGAAAACAGACACGCCAAACGAGGGATGGGACGAGGACAGGGTCCCCACCTGCACGAGCAGGATTTTGGAAGAACGATCAGGGGGACAGGTGGGGCTCTCCTGCTCCTGACAAGGGACACGACAGGCTCGCAGCGCGGTGCGCGGTGGACTCCCACATCCACTGGCGGTCTCATCTCAGTCTAGCGAGGCTAGAGCCTGAGTTGGCAAGGTAAGGGGAATGATCAGAATGGCAAGGCTCGGAATGCGTTCTCAGAACGTTCAGAACACCGGCCGCTGGGCCCGCCTGAGGCGCTGAGACCCGGAGCCTCTCTCTCGGCACTAGCAGCAGACAGAGGGCGGGGTAAGCCGTCATTGCCCGGCGCTGCTTGCAGCGCTCTGGGTGGTAGTGGCGGCGCTCCAAGAGTGGTGCTCTTGGGAAGAGGTTCCTCCTTTCCGCTCCCCCCCCGCAAGGCGCGAGACACAGGCACAGGGACAGTGACGCGGCTCATACTTCAGTCCTCCCTCAGCCCGACCTCGGACGGAAGACTAGGGATCCCTACAAAGGTCGCAGGAATGATCAGAACGGCATCCAGGCGGCACCGGCCCTACGACTCGGACCGTGCCACAGCCCATCCCCCCAAGCGCCAAGGCAGCCCACCGCCCACCGCCCGGCCCCAGCCGGTCCGACCTCTTCACACGGCGACGATTGCGCCGCCGGCCGCCGCTGCCAGGGCCGCCGCCTCCGTCGGCGCCAGAACAGGCTCGAACAGCAGCCACGACTCGTACTCTGCCGACGGCGAGCCGTCGTACATCGACGACTCGAGCGAGAGGTCCGTCGCCGCGCCGTTGTCAACGTCGAACTTGGCGACGAAGTTGACGCGGTCACGCTCGATCGTGCGCCGGCCGTCGTTCACCTTGGCCGTAACCGTGCCCACGCACCAGCCGTAGTGCTCGAAGCGGACCATGATGCGCTGCTCGATGAGCGCGTCGCTGGCCGGGTTGGTCGGGTCGAGCTGCTCCTCCGTCGGCGAGGCCGCGACAACCTTGAAACCGTCCGGCACGAGCAGCGGCGCCTCCACCATGCCCAGCACGTCCCCCGCGTCCTCAAAGGTCACGAGTGGCTCCACATGCTCCGCTTCGGGTATTTTTCGGGGATACCTGAGAATTCTCGGGTATACCCGGGTTTTACCCGGCCGGCCACCTGGGTCGGTCCGAGAATGTTCCAGGAATGATCAGAATGGCGAGGGCCAGAACGTGTTACATGTACTAGTCAGAACGGACCCCAGTTGCCGATCCTGCCAACTCAGGCTAGAGCAGGCTCAGTCTACCTTTTCTTTATCTCTGCTGCAGCCATCCTCCTCCATCCTGCTCCGGCAAAAGCGTCGCCGCCGACATGGGCAGCCTGCAGGGCGTGTCCAGCGAGGGAGTTGAGAAGAAGCTGTCGCGGAAGGCCGACCAGGCGCGGCAGGCTCGCGCACGCCACAAGCAGTTTGTCGCAGAGCTGCAGGAGCAGGCCGAGATGCTGCACAAGCGTTGCCGCGAACTCGAGGCGGAGGACCGGGCCGCCGCGGTATGCGAGGGGCTCCAGCAGGCGCTCTCGCCGTCCCAGTGCGCCGCGCTGGAGCAGTGGCTGCGGGCTTCGCAGGGCGAGGACCACATGCTCCGGAGATACACGCTGCCTCCACTGCCGCCGATGCCGACACCGGTCGGGGCCTCCTCGCAGCCGGCCACGCCTGCGATGGGCCCCGCCGACGACGCGATGGATGTGGACGACGAGGAGGACCGCGGAAGCTCGCCCACATACGACCCCCTGGATATTCTCGGCACGCCGCATCCCCCCCCCCCCACACACACGCCCCCACGCCGGCGACACCACACGCCTGACGCCTGGCGGGCGCTGCCAGGCGCGCACTCGATTCTCAACATCAAGCACTCGCCGCTGGTCATGTCTGCCCCCGCACGGGCTCAGCCGGGGGGCGCCGTGCCGTCCTTCTCCCTCGGCGGCGGCCCAAGCAGCGTCTCGCCCTCACCTCAGGCGAGAGAGCCAACAAAGAGAGAAAACCACGTCGCTCCCCGCTTTTTCCGTGCAGAGGACAGATTACCCCTGGCATGGGGGGTTTGATAGGCCCAGTGATTCCTTCTTTGGAAGGCAAACTGTGTAGGGCCCTCTCGTGTTTGCCAGGAGTCAATTGGAGCCCCCGTAATTTCGGGTGGCTCGAATCCC